AATGCAAGAGCAGATGCTCTCAGCAGACGGACCGACTACGCCGGCCCAAAGGAAAAAAGACCTAGAGCAATTCTGAAGAAAACAGATGCAGGAATACAGTACAACGAGTTACTAGCGACGATCTCAGTCATCGAAGATACAGAACTCGAGGAAAGACTCAAGAAAGCTTACGCAACAGACGAATGCGCCAAGCGAGTCTTGTCCAAAGTCGAAGGCGACTTCACCATCGACGAACAAGGATTGATTCGATACAAAGGGTTAGTGTATGTCCCAAGTCAAATGAGACGCCCGCTGGTGCAAGAACAACACTCGTTACCAGCACACGGTCATCAGGGAGTAACGCGAACCTTCGAACGAATCACTCGACACTACTACTTCCCAGGTATGAGGAAGCAGGTAGAGACAGTGGTAAGAGAGTGCGACATTTGCAGCAAGTCAAAATCCAATAAGGCATCTGCCATACGGACAACTCAAGTCGACACCAGTACCAAAAGGAGCGTGGAAATCAATAGCTTTGGACTTCGTCGTCAAGCTTCCACCCTCCAAGGACCCGTTAACAGGAATAGAATACGACTCTATCCTCGTCATCACGGAAAGACTCACGAAATATGGGAAGTTTATACCATATCTAGAAGCTAGCGACGCCGAGGCGCTCGCATATACCTTCATTCGAGTCATATTAGCCGATCATGGGATGCCAGAAGAAATCATCTCAGATAGAGACAAGCTCTTTACTTCGAAATTCTGGAAATCATTGATGGCGCTACTGGGAACAAATCATAAGCTATCAACAGCTTTTCATCCCCAGACAGATGGCCAAACAGAAAGATTAAATCAGACCCTTGAACAGTACCTGCGAAGCTATGTCAATCATCAACAGGATAACTGGGTTCAGATCTTACCCATCGCACAGTTTGCATATAACAGCGCGATGACAGAAGCAACGAAAGTCTCACCGTTCTTTGCCAATTATGGCTACCAACCAGAAGCATATAGGCAACCAAGACCGGATGAATCACGAGCTGAACAAGCCCTGATCGTGGTGGAACAACTTAAATCGTTCCACGAACAACTTGCGACGGACATCCAATTCTTAAATGAACGATCCGCCGCATACGCAAACAAGAAGCGCAGTATGGAACCTGCCTTCAAGGAGGGGGATAAAGTATACCTACTCCGGAAACATATCAAAACGAAACGACCAAGCACAAAGTTGGACTTCAAGAAATTGGGACCATTCAAAATATTGAACAAAGTCAGCTCAGTTAATTACAGACTGCAGCTACCCAGGAAGTCTAGACTACACCCAGTATTTCATGTCTCACTACTGGAACCAGCAAGAGGAAATACCCCAATTGCGACCGACACCGAACTCCAACCCGAGAATGAGATAATCGAATATGAGGTCGAAGCGATCCTAGACAGAAGGTTAGTAGGACGTCGAGAAGAGTTTTTGATAAAATGGGAAAATTACGAACCTACGGATAATTCGTGGGAACCAACAAGGAACATCAGCAAAGAACTGCTGGAGGAATATCGACGCCGCCATCCGCCAGCCATTGATCCCAAGATGCAGGGGAGTAGGCCAGTGGATCGGAGGAAGCGAGGGTCCCGGTCACAGACGAGGAGGCAGCGCTAACTGCCTGTTCCTCAGCCTCAACAGCGTCACGCTTCTCAGCAGCCACACGTTCGGCCTCCTCTGCCGCATCAAGCTCGTCGAGGGTTTTCAAACCTCGCCGGAGCATATCTTTACCACGGGTTCGGATGAGGCGTTTCTGCTTTCGCAGACGAAGTAACTTCGAAAGGGTTTCTTCCTCTTCGCGATCCAGGCGATCCTCCTCCCGTTCGAGCTTCACCCAGTCGGGATGCTCAGGACCCATACAGTCACACTTTTCTTTCAAGTTGCGACGAACGCACTCGGCGCACCGCCGTGAATCATTTGGAGACGACACGCAAGTAACGTTTCGCCTCACGCAGTTCGAGCAAGAATCCATTTCGGGTAGTTCGTATCCGTGGTTCTTTATTCGACGGACAAGATCGTTGCGTTCCTGGAGTTTGCAGGCAGTGTCAGTAGGCATGTTGCATGTTGAAGGACTCGCTGAGGAGCAGCAGAGTCCCGGGGACATGGACGTACTTATAGGATTCGAGACGAATGCCCAGGGGAAGGGAGCGAGTGTTACGACGGAACAAGAAGGCTGGCCAACTACAGGACAGGAAGGAGGGAGGTCGCATGAGACCGGCCCTGGTACCTGGAGGGGCAGCGGGGAATAGTAGTTCCGAAAGTATCACGTGACGGACTCGCAGGATGATGAGAAGAGTCCTAAGAGTCCAGGACTCCGAGGACTCGAGTGAGTTCCCAGGAGTCCACTAGGCACGTGATGGACTCGCAGGATGATGAGAAGAGTCCTAAGAGTCCAGGACTCCGAGGACTCGAGTGAGTTCCCAAGAGTCCACTAGGCACGACGCCACTATATAAGTAGATAGTATTTCCTTAGATAGGAGCTTCGTGCTCAACTCAATACAGTATTTGTTATATACTAGTAACGTGTTACTTGAAGCCTTTGTGTCTGATCCCCTGCCTCCTCTGATAAGTAAACCTTTACGCAAGAGAACCTCTGTGTCTTCTATCGTTTAGAAGTCAGCGTTACAATTCCGTCAAAAACTTGCAGCACTTGAGAACTTCCACAATGCTATCACAAAAGCCTCTGGTCTCAAATCGCAACCGCCGAAGCCGAGATGGTGCCCCCCCCCCCCAAGTTGTATAGGAAAAGGTGGCCCCAGTTGCACAGGAAAAGGTGACATTTTAAGTTCAAGATACTCGAGGTTTGGGTGCAATAGATGTTCCCTGATATCTAAGAAATTTCGCAAGGGGTATAGCAGCCGAACATGTGTCAATGCCAACGCTGGGTTCCTTTGGAGCCAATAGTGCGACTGTAAGGGAGGCCATCACGTGCCACCACGTGAGGCCCCTATTGGCAGGGCCCGTAGGGCTTGGTAAACTAGGGCATAGGGCGCCTAGCTAAAAGGGACTAGAGGCCTCGGAAGAAGGACTCCAGTTAATAGTCACTATACCTACTATCCCCCCCCCTGAATGATTGTAACGACCCGCTATTTTGAAGCACGCCATTGCCCTCCCATTGATGGTATATCAATATTTCGAAGTGCGCGCGGCTGTTTATATCGTCCAATCATCCACACAGGTAGGCGATTGTAATGGTGGGTGCACCAGATGTGAGAATCTAGCCACCCAAGGAAGGGATGATTTTACTAAGACAACACACTGTCTTAGGAAACAGAGCCAAAGGGTCGTAGCTTAGACTATTCCACAACGCAGCAATCAGGTGTATGATGTAGTGGAGTGGTTCAGACAAGTTGCAACAAATGTTGAGTCTGGGAACTCAGGGGTAAGTCAGAGGTTAACACCTCACTGACTTTTCAGAAACAAGGAGTAACAAGATGAATGCTTGGAAGCTTGTAAAAGACGTGGAAGTATGTGATAGTCAATTTACTGTATTGTCTGCTTGCCCTTTCTTAAGGAAAGGGCAATCCTATTTATGCTAAAGGAGTGTAGTTCTCTCATTTTCCAAGACTTTCCATGACTAACCAGGCTTGGTAAGTGTAGTCGACGTAAGAGAAGCCCATAGAACCATCTCCTAGGTTCCTAGCCTATAGGAAGTGAAAGGAGATCCAAGGTCAGAGTACCCCTATAGACAAATTATGTCATAACTTAACCAATCTTGTGGGTAACTAAGGAGCGATGACGTGTAATGAATCATAGAGGGTTGTAGAAGCTTTTGGAGCTATCGTTCATGTTCCTAGGCCTCTAGTTGATAGAGATATGTCATGTGTATTAGCCCAGTAACTAAGGAGTGATGTCATGTAATGAATCATAGAGGGTTGTAGAGATATGCTATGTGGTCATATCGGCCCAGTAACTAAGGAGCAATGACATGTAATGAATCATAGAGGGTTGTAGCAATCGTTGAGTAGTATTGCTCTTGTTGTTGGTGTGATAAGCCAAAATATGTATAGTGACTTGTAGGTTTGAGGAGGAGATTTCTAAGTTTGCTCTTGAGTTTGATAGCAAACTCAGTGCAACGAATGTCAGTATGACAGCGATCAGTTCCAGAAGCATTAACACAAAAGACAAGGCTAATTCGAGTTTTCTCCTTCTTTAATCCTGGAAGTGTTTGTGTTGCAAGCCCTCGAGACGGCATCATCTTCCAGTATAGGCCTGTCTCGTCCATATTATAAATGTCCTCCTGAAATTCACCGACTCGCACTCTCATATGCTATTACTGTGAGCTGGGTGCCCTGTGTCCTTACAGTATATCACTGCTTGTAAAACCTCCACGTGATTGAATTCGTTGCTGCCATATAATAAGGAGTCGCTCCACTTCTGGCCACTGTCCAACTCATAGTCGTGATCCCGTAGGTTGTATAGCTTTGTCTAGATCTTCGAAATGTGAGCTTAAAGACTCGGAAACTGTCGACTGACTGAGTTTATGGCCGTAGTTCTGAGAGAACCATTCGATACATTGCTTTTGAGAAGGCTTCGGGTGTTGTTGATGTGCCCACTTGCGTAGAGCTCGGCGTTGCTCAATAGTTATTGCAAATCGTTTCGTCATTTCAAGGTCTGAATAGGAACACCATAGCACGGATAAAGCGATATTTGGGAAAGGGAGCACCGATATCGTGAGTATCGGTAATTGTATGGTGGTGTTGTCGGGACCAGGAAAAATATCGCAATAATGAAGTTATCGCTTAATCGAGAATCGTTATAACGGTGCTTTACTGTATTGTGCTTACTGAATACGATACCTTCCTGCCTCCTGACCTGGTTCTCTAGACTCCCGTGAGACCTTAGGCTTACGCTTTACACACCCATTCCACCTCAGTCCCGCGGCCTGTATCCACGTAGCTTTTCAAATATCAGAATAAATCCTCAATATATTCCGATCTAAGCCCCATAGCTTCGCCAAAAGAATTAGCCACTAAACTTATTGAGAAGCCTCTGGCAGAGAGCCCTTGAGAACATCAACCCCACGTCTCAACTCCAAGAGTTGGATCACTGCGGCGACGTTCGACTCGGTAATAGCGGTCGTGGCGGGGAAGCTCTGGTTTGTAGTCGTCCATTCGACCCAGATCTCCCAACTTTTCCATGTCGCCGCCAAATTCGTCGAAGTATTGTTGAGGAACTCGGTCATGGATAGCTGCGTAAGCGGTTCGTTGGACCGCCTCCAAGGTCATATCGGCGGTGAGGATAATAACATCGTTATCGTTTGGGCTGGAAAGCTTGAAAGCGATAGGGACCGACATGTGTCTATAGCTGTGTTGCGAGGTGGATGGTTTGTAGATATATTTTAATCTCAAGCGTCGAGGTTATCCACTATATATTGATTTCCATATTTTAAACACATCGTCGTCACCTAAGACGGACGAATTCATCGAGATGCCAAGTGAAGTCGCGATACCTTTTCTTCTCACCGATATGCGTGCTGATTCTTGTACGGCATCATATTAAACCGCTTCTGTACTGTCGCCTTGGGGCCGTCAATACGACGGGGTGTGGTGCACCATGCACAGATACAGTTATACAATAGGCTCACTTACCCTTGACTGGTTGCGTGATGAGAAAATAACACTGCGTACGCTCGGTCTAGATTAACATCTCATCATTCTCACATAGCATATGTATCCAAACGGTAAACCCATTGAGACAGTCCCAGCCATATTAAACGATTCTTCATTTTCATCCTTTCACCAGTGTTGCCCGAATACCGCTCTGAGTACTACTCGAGCATCCTCGAGTAGAGTACTCAAAATTGAAGCTCGAGTACCGGTATTTGAATACCGGTACTCGAATACCGTGAGTACAGTAGTACTCGCATATAAAATAGAAATTGACTGTATTTACTATTCTAACTCTCATTATCTGCATCGTCGCCGCTGTCCTTGTCGTCGCCTTGTGATATAATACCCCAATTCCGTAAGCAAAGTAGATATCTAAGTGTAGACGGTGATAATCTGTTCCGTTTCTTTGTGATAATATCACCGCCAACACTAAATACTCGTTCCGAGTCTGCTGAGGTAGCTGGAATAGCTAGGTGATCCTTTGCTATAGAAGCAATCAACGGATATTGGAATTGCTTACTCTGCCAATATTTGAGAATATCTGTGTTCCTACCAACTGTCGGCTCCTTCATCCATCGCTTCCATTCTGGCTCAGTATCGTGATGGCTTTGCGATACGTATAGCTCGTCTTCTGAGTCTATATCGATACTGGGCGTTGCTAGGGAGGGGCCTAAATTGTGGATACAGTTTCTACTGAAGTAGAGTACCACAGCATGGCATCCGGCATGGCGCGAAAGGAGGCTGTTAGTCCCGTTTCCTATATCGGAGTCCTCGGGGTTTGCTGTCACGGTAATGCTTGGCATTTGCGGGGGTTTTATATATCTAGCCATAGCACGTGACAAACCCTCAAATTATGTCATATCTGAAATTGCTGAGGTACGACGGCATATCAGCTATTGCAGCATTGCAACACCATCGATACTGAAACGGGAAAGAAGCAGGACAAGATTGCCACTCCATCATATTCAAAAAAATATCCGATTTGTTGCAGAATCCGGAAACCATGCCAGCACTGATGTCATGGCTCACGTGACCATCTGCTTACTCAAGCTCCCATGAGTGGTCGGCTCGAGCGGGGCAGGAGCTTGTTGTCTGATCATCATTAAATCACCTATCCCCCACTTCTGAACACCTTCTCTTCTTCTCTCCCCCCACCTCAAGGCAACAATTCGTAGCAAAGACTCTGAATTAATTCCCGCTACTCAATATCCACAAAGGTTCTATTCCAGTAATATAATCCGCCAAGATGGTCAAAGCAGGTACGTGGACGAGTTTAGTTCGCTGCTACTGTGTTTGTGTTTTTTTGTGTCGGTGGAGTGGTGGTAGTTTGTCCAATGACGCAGCTTCCCGCGCGCTGAATTGAGCACATTCATCGACACATCTATTTACTCTACCAGGAAGGGCGCAACCTTGGGGACTGTCAGCCTCAACCGCCTCAGCAGCCTCCTCTCCACCCTCTCCTATCCTCTACCAAGCTACCCCGCACTTCACACCATCCCCCAGAACCCGCTTGGCTAACCCCGCATAGTTGCAACCGTCCATGGTGACTCTAAGGTCTTCGGCACCGTCACCTTCGAGCAGGCTGATGAGAACTCCTCCACCACCATCTCCTGGAACCTCACTGGCAACGACGCCAACGCCCAGCGCGGAATCCACGTTCACCAGTTCGGTGACAACACCAACGGCTGCACCTCTGCTGGCCCACATTGTGAGTTTATCTCAACAATACCCGTATCCATCATTGTTCAATGTCAAGATGGACAATGGTCGGAGGAGAGAAAGATGTGAAGGAGAAACGTGTGGCGTGAGGGCGGAGTAGAGAGAAAGAGACATGAGGAAATAGAAACCCAAAATGGGCAGAACGAAGAGGGAAACGAGGAAGGAAGACCAGACGAATCAGACACTGCGAGGCCAACAGACCATCATACTAACTTCCCTTTCTCAGTCAACCCCCGTGGCAAGAACCACGGTGCCCCCATCGACGAGGAGCGCCACGTTGGTGACCTCGGCAACTTCAGCACCGATGCTCAAGGAAACTCCATCGGCACCACCACCGACAAGCTGATCAAGCTCATCGGCCCGGATAGCGTCATCGGCGTAAGCCTTCTCCCCAGCGGTGCTCCCACACTCCACCTCCCTTCTTTTCCTCCTGAGCAACTTTCTCCAGGTTGAGCGAGGTTGAGCGGGCAGAGGGGCAGCAAAATAAGAACAAGAAGCTAATCCGCTCAGCGAACCATCGTCGTCCACTCCGGCACCGACGACCTCGGCAAGGGGGGACACCCAGACTCCCTCAAGACCGGTAACGCTGGTCTCCGTCCCGCTTGCGGTGTCATTGGCATCTCCGCTTAGATAGCGAGTGAGATGGACGCACTAAAATGCTAGGTAGCTGGATATCAATCATTTTGAGAGTGTACAAGCTGTGTGTATGCATCAGTGATGTTGTGCTTGACGTGCGAGAGCAGTGCTGAATGCAGAGAGGGGTTAGTGGTGATCAATGGTCGTAGGCTGCCCCGTTTCTTTTTTCTCTTTTGTCTTTTTTGTTTCTCACCCACAAATATCAACTTTTTCACACCCCCCGTTTTCTCTGCCTCCCTATTTAATTTCTACCGCCGCCTACTCTCCCGACCTCCCGGATATCCCTCCCCATCCTCTTCCTTCGTCCCACCGCTAACCTCGGGCCGGCCCCCTCCCACACACAGCAGCACATGCATCCCGATCCCGTCCCCCCCCTCCCCATGCCACAAGCAAAAATCTCATCCCGCACCCGCACCCGGCCCGCACAAAAACGCCTTATCTCCCCCCCCCATCACCCGCTCTGACGCCATCATCCCGGCCCCGAAACCCCCGGTATGGTATCCCCGTCTATAAGTCCCGGTTATGGGTTGCGAGAGCGCGGGCCGTGATGCCGTGCCGATGTGGCAGGGGATTGGGGGGGAAATAGATTAGGGGTGTAAGCGGTGGTAGGGGGGATGGTGCAAGGGCTTGGTAAGCCCTAATGGGGGGGGAGGGGGGTATAGGCAGGGAGGGGAATATCGGAAGGATGATAAGCACGAGGTCGGGGGATAAACAGGGAGCGGGAGGGGGAAGGAATAAGCAGGACAGGGAGATGAAAGATGGAGGAGGGGGTGTGTGCAAGGTGCAAGGCAGGGTGGCGAGTGCCGAGGATCGAACACGATGGCGCATCTCTTGGTGAGGGAGCGATGTGATGCTGATACTGATGAGCCATGTCAGTTAGTTAGTTAGTTAGTTTGTTGGTCTGGATGGGGATGGGGATGGGGATGGGGACGGATGCAAGACCCTGTCGGCGCCGCTCGTCCCGCCGTTGAGGCGGGCAGGGGAGCTGTTTGTGGTGGGTTGGGTGCGTGGGTTGCTTGCACGTGCGAGGCACGAGTGAGATAATAGATGATGGCAGATTTGCGCGTTTTTGGCACGCGGTGAGCGGCGGGTTTATCCCTCTTATACGACAGGGATGGCGGCGTACAGTATTCCCATCCCCTGCCCCATGCCATACCCATACCCATAGTGCTACATACATCACCTCCATGTCTGATGTCTGGCAGGGGCTCTATTCCCTGCATATTGCATCTGACAGCCAAGACAGGGGGTCAAGGGGGGGAGGGGGAGGGAGGACGAACGCATTATCTGGATGCTTATGTTTGGGCTGGCTGGATGTAGGGATGGATGGGTTGGAAGGGTGTGGGTGTGGGTGTGGGTGTGGGTGTGGGTGTGGGTGTGGGTGTGGGTGTGGGTGTGGGTGTGGGTGTGGGTGTGGGTGTGGGTGTGGGTGTGGGTGTGGGTGTGGGTGTGGGTGTGGGGTGTGGGTGTGGGTGTGGGTGTGGTGTGCGTGGTGCTACGGCCGAGGATGGCGCGAAGGATGCGGTGATGCAGCACGGCGTGAGATGTTTTTTTCGAAGAATACACACACTGCACTTCCCACCGTACTCCAACATCTCTATACGACGGCCTACCCTTCCTCTATACTCCGTACGGCATACACCCATCACCCATCTCTCCCTCCGGACATAGCTACTACCTTGCCCTACGGCGGATTATCAGAGCCATCCCATCATCCCATCATCCCATCATCCCATCATCCCATCATCCCATCATCCCATCATCCCATCATCTCATCCCCCCTGCCCCCTTCCCCTTCCCCTTCCCCTTCCCCTTCCCCTTCCCCCTTCCCCCTTCCCCCTTCCCCCTTCCCCCTTCCCCCTTCCCCCCCCCTCCTTCCCTCGCTCGCAGGGATCCAACATACATACAATACGTACGCGCCTCCCCACCCAGACCGTTTCAGGATCGTGCAACAGTGCGGTCTTGGCGGGAAGGAAGGAACTCCCACCCCGAGCCATCCTACCCGAATTTCAAATCCCCGTAGTACTAGTACGTACCTCACACCCGCCATCACGCAAGTACACCCCACGCTAATCAACCCCCTCTGTTTGAGATACAGCTAGGGGGTGTGTGGTGTGGTGGTGTGGTGGTGTGGTGGTGTGGTGGTGTGGTGGTGTGGTGGTGTGGTGGTGGTGTGGTGTAGTGGTGTAGTGGTGTGGTGGTGTGGTGGTGGTGTGGTGTAGTGGTGTGGTGGTGTGGTGTGTGGTGTGTGGTGTGTGGTGTGTGGTGGTGTGTGGTGATGTTTGTTGGTGTGTGTGGTGGTGTGTGTGGTGGTGTGTGGTGGTGTGTGGTGGTGTTTGTTGGTGTGTGTGGTGGTGTGTGTGGTGGTGTGTGGTGGTGTGTGGTGGTGTTGTTGGTGGTGTGTGGTGGTGTGTGGTGGTGTGTGGTGGTGTGTGGTGGTGTGTGGTGGTGTGTGGTGGTGTGTGGTGGTGTGTGGTGGTGTGTGGTGGTGTTTGTGGTGTGGTGGTGTTGTGGTGTGTGGTGGTGTGTGGTGGTGTTTGTTGGTGTGTGTGGTGGTGTGTGGTGGTGTTTGTTGGTGTGTGTGGTGGTGTTTGTTGGTGTGTGTGGTGGTGTGTGGTGGTGTTTGTTGGTGTGTGTGGTGGTGTGTGGTGCTGTTTGTTGGTGTGTGTGGTGCTGTGTGGTGCTGTGCAGGGGGTGCTCTAGGGCGGAAGAGGCAGGAGGGCTGGGGCTGGGCGTACGGGGGAGGTACTTGTGTGGTTCTTCTTAGGAGGGCACCAATCAGGAAGAATAAAAAAAAAGGTGGGGAGGTGGGCTGTGTCCGTCGTTTCCCTGTCTATCCGTCCGCCGCCGCCGTCCTGAAATGCCTCGTTCGCTCGTGCTGCGTATGTAGGAGAAGGGGATGGAAGTGTGATACACAGCTTCGTACGTACAACGATACGATACATAAATTACATAAATTACATAAATTACATAAATTACATAAATTACATAAATTACATACATTACATTACTACATCATTACTACATTACCCATCCCATCCCCCCATCCATTGTCGCGCCGGGATAAAGCTGGCCCGATCGGGGCCCCACTTACCCACTTTCCGTCCATGTGCTTGCTACTCTACCACCTCCAGACAGAGGAGAGAGGACACCTTCCGCTTCTGACCGACCAGGCCACCCTACCTTACCTTAACCTGTCGTCGTCCCTGTCGTCGTCCCTGTCGTCGTCCCTGTCGTCGTCCCTGTCGTCGTCCCTGTCGTCGTCCCTGTCGTCGTCCCTGTCGTCGTCCCTGTCGTCGTCCCTGTCGTCGTCCCTGTCGTCGTCCCTGTCGTCCCTGCCAGCCGCCACCCGTCACTCGCAAGTTCGCCCGCTGCCAAACCAGACTCGCAAAAGCGTCCATCCGTCACACACAGTACAACAGTATAGTCCATGCTACCGTAGTCGGTCGGACATAGCACCGATTCGCCGTGGCCTCTCCTCGACGCCTCCAAGATTCGCCGTGGCCTCTCCTCGACGCCTCCAAGCGGCTGACATGCGGGTGGCCGCGGACGGAGGCGAGGGGTTTGGTGGGATGGGGGGTGGATGTAGAGGAATGTACAGTGTGCGTGTGTGCGTGTGTGCGTGGGGGAAGTTGACCTATCACGTGGAAGAGAGATGGGTGGTGGGGTGAGTTATCGGCCGGTCGGGTCCGCGTCGGCGATCGGAGTTTATGCCGGTAAGGGTGCCAAGCCAAGCCAAGCCAAGCCAAGCCACGCCAAGGACTGAGGGTTCTTTCTTTCCCTGCTGTCTGATGTCTGGGGCTTGTGCGTGTATGTCGGGAGAGAGTGTGTGCGCGCGTGTTTCTGTGAGTAGAGGGAGCAGGTCTTGACCAAGGCCTGATAAAGAAGCTGCCAAGCCACTATATGGCCATAGTATATAGCCTAGGCTCAGTTGGTAATAGCACTTATAGACCCTAGTATGTAGAAGTAGCTAGCCCTAATACACTAATATCAGAATCCATACTGCCTAGTGATGAGTTTAATCGAGTTGTTATACTAAATCCAGTATTTCTAGCCTAGTCCTATAGGTCTTGCTAACTAAGGAAATCGCTAATTACTTAAGTAGGGTAATGCCTAATTACTTAGGCAGGTTACACTGCTATCATGCCTTCTAAGAAACACACAAAAACTAAGGAATGCATCTTCTTACTAACTACATCAAAAAGAACAGCAACCTAATGTCGCTATGTTGTAACTGTCTTTGTAGCGAACATACTTACATCATCACTTCTAGCTACTGCCGTTATAGTGAATGTACTTGTTGCAACTCTAAATGTGACACTTATGCCCTATCTCCTACTAACTAGGGAAAGTTTTGTAAGGAGGAAGAGCATCTTAAGGCTAAAGAGAAAGCAGCTGCATTCTAGGAACAGGATGCTCACCTCTATGCCTAAGAAGCATACGCTCATCACATGCGTCTTCGCAAGCAGCAGAAGGCTCTTAAAACCTATGGTGCTAAGATGCTAAGTTGTGGTCTAAAATCCCTAGACAAGTTAGAGGAGGTCGAGGAGCAAGTAGCATGAGTGTCATACTGACATTCATTGCACTGAGTTTGCTATCAAACTCAAGAGCAAACTTAGAAATCTCCTCCTCAAACCTACAAGTCACTATACATATTTTGGCTTGTCACACCAACAACAAGAGCAATACTACTCAACGATTGCTACAACCCTCTATGATTCATTACACATCATTGCTCCTTAGTTACTGGGCTGATATGACCACATAGCATATCTCTACAACCCTCTATGATTCATTACATGACATCACTCCTTAGTTACTGGGCTAATACACATGACATATCTCTATCAACTAGAGGCCTAGGAACATGAACGATAGCTCCAAAAGCTTCTACAACCCTCTATGATTCATTACACGTCATCGCTCCTTAGTTACCCACAAGATTGGTTAAGTTATGACATAATTTGTCTATAGGGGTACTCTGACCTTGGATCTCCTTTCACTTCCTATAGGCTAGGAACCTAGGAGATGGTTCTATGGGCTTCTCTTACGTCGACTACACTTACCAAGCCTGGTTAGTCATGGAAAGTCTTGGAAAATGAGAGAACTACACTCCTTTAGCATAAATAGGATTGCCCTTTCCTTAAGAAAGGGCAAGCAGACAATACAGTAAATTGACTATCACATACTTCCACGTCTTTTACAAGCTTCCAAGCATTCATCTTGTTACTCCTTGTTTCTGAAAAGTCAGTGAGGTGTTAACCTCTGACTTACCCCTGAGTTCCCAGACTCAACATTTGTTGCAACTTGTCTGAACCACTTCACTACATCACACACCTGATTGCTGCGTTGTGGAATAGTCTAAGCTACAACCCTTTGGCTCTGTTTCCTAAGACAGTGTGTTGTCTTAGTAAAATCATCCCTTCCTTGGGTGGCTAGATTCTCACATCTGGTGCACCCACCATTACAGTGCACCCACCATTACATCCATGCTCCTTTTGGTACTAGTGTTGACTTGAGCTGTCTATAAGGCAAGTGCCTGTTGGATTTTGATTTGCTATAGATGTTACATCTCTTACTACTGTTTCTACCTGCTTCCTCATACCTAGGAGGTAGTAGTGTTAGGTGATTCGTTTGAAGGCTTGTGTTACTCCCTAATGGCTGTGTGCTAGCAATGAGTGGTGTTGTTCTTGCACTAGTAGGCATCTCATTTGACTTAGACATACACTAATCTGTTGTATCGAATCAATCCTTGTTTGTCAATGGCGAAGTTGGCTTCAACCTTGGTCAAGAGTCACTTTGCACATTCAATTATTATGTAAGCTTCCCAAGTTCTAAGTTCTCTATAGTAGCAATTGCGTTCTTAGAGCCTTTGCAATAGGTTATTGTAAAGTTGTAGGCAGGGTATAAAAACCAGCAGCTTGGCACCTTCTTATTCGGGCCGTGGTCAAGGTGATGGTTAGGCGGGTGTCTCTGGCATGTCTCTGGCATTGTCTCTGGGTGTCTGTCGCAAGTCTTGGGACAATGTCTCACCTCCCAATGCCTCACTCGTCTCGCGCCCCTCGCTCATTCCTCGTACCCTCGCCTTGTCCCCTTTGGTTCGAGTACGGGCCCCACCTTTCTCTCCTTGCAATCCCCTGCAAATCCCGAGTACTTTGTCTGTACGAAGGGTGTACTCTGGATGCCTCCCTCAAGCAAACCCCCAATCCCCCAATCCCCCAATCCCCCAATCCCCCAATCCCCCAATCCCCCCAATCCCCCCAATCCCTTCCCCCTGGTCTTTTCTCCTTCTCCCCCCGTCCCTTCTCCCCCCGTCCCTTGTCCCCCCCGTCCCTTCTCCCCCGCCCACCGTCCGTACTTAAAGCGACCCATGTCCCCTGCTTCCCGCATGGCATGCTCGACCGTTGACAAACCCTTCCACCTTAGCACCTCACTACCTTGCCTACCACCTTAGCACCTCACTACCTTCCCTCACTACCTTAGCACCTCACTACCTCACCACTCACTACCTCACCACTCACTACCTCACCACTCGCTACCTCACGCTCACTACTTTACCACCACACCACCTCACCACTCACTACTTTACCACCTTGCCACCACCTCACCACCTCACCCCTTCCCGTCCCTTCCCTTCCCTTCCCTTCCCTTCCCTTCCCTTCCCTTCCCTTCCCTTCCCTTCTCCCACACTCTTCTTTTCTTTTTCTTCTCTCCCAATTGTCGTCAAAACAAATCCTCAAAAGGTACCTGACGCTTCCCGCCCTCCCCCCCTATCCCATCAACATCCCCTACCCCCATCCCCTACCCATCCCCCCCCATTCCCTACCCATCCCCTACCCATCCCCTACCCATCCCCCCCCATCCCCTACCTACCTTACCTTACCCTGCTGCCCACCCACCCCCTCAAAACCCGACAGGCATTAATTAATTTTTGTTACCCACAGCTTCAGTCCCGCCCGACCACACCGTTTGCCACCGCCAAATCTAAATGAAAAAGTGAAGCTATTCACAACTCTCCTTACCCATCGACCGCAACTAACCCCCTGCGTATCTGTTCTTTCGACACGGCCCGATTTCACTTTTCCCTCACTATCGGTCGAGTCAAGCACCTTCAAACTTCTCTCCACCTTTCTCACTTACGCGACGCGACAAAGGGTACAAAAAAAATCGCGAAAAAATCGGGCTTCATCGTTCCGCGCTACCCAGCCCCGAGTCCGGGCAACATCTTGTGCTTCGAACGAGTTACTCGATAAAAGACTCGACGTTTCAAGTTTGTCCCACGACCTGAACGACTCGACGCTCTTCACCCAACCTCCTGCCGACTCCACGCGCACCCTCGCTCGTTATCGGTCTACTGCCAAGCGCTCGACGAGACCTGTAACCGGCCGGACCCTTCCATACGCGCAAAAAAAAAGGCCCCTTGTCTAGTCGACAACACACACCTCCTCTCATCGCGACAGCTACAAGTCGCACGCGTGCGCATTCCCGATAACAACAAAAAGTCGCTTCTTCTCGCGACCGCCCTCGCCGCGCGCCTTGCTCCAGCTCCGCAAGCGCACAACGCGAGGACTCTACCACCTGTCAATGGTTGTTTTGGCTCATTGGGAGTAATTCGCAATGGTGACTGACAAATATTATTCACAGCAGCATCAGCCGCACCACGCGCAGGGCCCGCCGCCGCAACAACTGCCGCACCAGCGCCCCTCCAGCGTCGTGCACCAGCAGCAGCAGCCGCCCGCACCGCAGCAGCAACAGCAGCACTCCGGTGCCTACCAACCCTCCCACGGCCTGCCGCAGCAGTACGGCCAGAACGGCACCGGTCAGGTCGCCCAGCACCCGCAAGACGTGCCCTACTACACCCACGCGAGCCCCTACAGCACGCCCAGCGCGACGGGCACCTATACCTCCGCAGGTGAGTTTGCGAGAGGTCCTACGGCGCCGCCCGCGCAACAGCACCAGCGACTGACGAGCGCAGCGGCAGACACGCCCGATATCATCGCAGCCGCAGGCATGGCGCGCCCTCTCTACCCCCCGATCTACCACACCCCTCAATCGAACTCGCCAGCCTCCGTAGCCTCGCCGTTGGGCCACGATCAGCACGGTCGCCAGATCTACTCCCAGCCTCCCTCTCAGATGCAGCAGCAGCAACCAATGTACTACACACCACCACCACAAACTTACCCGCCCATGCCGCAGCAGGGTAACCCCTCGCCGTACGGCCAGCATCAACCACAGCATCACCAGGGAATGGGCCCGCAGTCGAATCTGCTCATGTCACATCCACAGGCGCAGCACCAGATGCAGCACCCCGGCCAGCACCCACAGCAGATGACCAGCAGCCCGCGCGTCACCAAGATGGAGCACCCACCCCAACAACAACAGCAGCGCGCCGCCCCAGCACCACCACAGGGCCAACCACAACCCCCCCACACACTCCAGCACATCCCACCCGCAACCAACGGCGCACCACCTCTCCCAGGGACCGGCGTCAACCCCTCCGCAGCGCCTGGGCCAATCCCTGCCACAACCCCTCTCGTTGTCCGCCAGGACGGCAACGGCGTCCAATGGATCGCCTTTGAGTACTCTCGCGACCGCGTCAAGATGGAGTACACCATCCGGTGCGACGTCGAGTCCGTAGCCGTCGACTCGCTGGCCCCCGAATTCAAGACCGAGAACTGCGTCTACCCCCGCGCCTGCTGCTCCAAGGACCAGTACCGTGGCAACCGCCTCGTCTACGAGAGCGAGTGCAACACCGTCGGCTGGGCCCTCGCCGAGCTCAACCCCTGCTTGAGGGGGAAGCGCGGTCTCATCCAGCGCGCCGTCGACTCGTGGCGAAACAGCAACCAGGACCCGCGCCTGCGCTCGCGCCGCGTCCGCCGTATGGCGAAGATCAACTCGCGCAAGCTCGTGCACGCGGCACCGCTCGGCCTGCCGCCGGGAGCACCGCCGGGATCTCTACCGGTTCAGCAGCAACAACAACAGCAACAGGGGAAGATGGGCGCGCAGATGCATCATCATCACCAGGCGCATGCCGATGGGGCAGCGGCGCCGAATGGCGATGATGGAAGTGGTATGTTTCACCAGATGTGATACTTTCCCCCCCCCCCTCACGTTCAAATTTGAGGATTGCGATTAAAAGTTCTTTGTTATGATATAACACACACACACACATCTTTTCCCCATACATTTGCACACGCACCAGATGTTTTTGTTTGGACCCCCTCAGATTTCCGTGCTCGTGCACCACCATCATCTACTTCCCTTATACGCGCTGGGCTCGGCCCGATGTGGCTCATTTTTGTCTTCTCTTGTTCTTCAAACTCGGCTTCTCTAGGGCGCCTGCGGGCTGGATTTTGTTTCATCTCAATCTGATTGATTCTGTTTGGCTTTTTGTTCGATTCTCTCGGCTCTTACCCATTTTGTCTTTCTTGCCACACATCTTGTCTCCTGGTTTATTCCTGCTGCTCGTCTTTTTTTTTTTTTTACTTGTATTCGCTGGATACCGTCTACAACGTGGCGCGCGGAACGGCGTCGCTTGGTGGGGGGGGCTGGTGCTGGTGCTGGTGCTATGAGGGATGTTCGATGTTACGTTCGTCGGGGCGGAGTAGGATAATGATCTGGAAATGGAAAGGAGGGAAATTGGAAAAGGGGAGGCGGATTTTGCTTGTATACTAGAATTTTCCCACGGATGCCGAGCTGCACTGGCCACCCTGCTGTGCTTGCTGCCTGCCTTTGTGCGGCGCACACATACCCGTCGCGGCGGGCCCAGAGGGGCCGTCCTGCGCCGGCTCGTTCTGTCTATTCCATCCATCCACCCGTCTTATCTGTCGTCTCGTCATCATTTCGTCCGTCACGTCATCCGTCTGGGCCGTTTTGAGGATTGCGGTGTAGAAATAGGCTAACGCCGTCCTGTCTCCGTAGGCCCTCCCTCCCCCAACAACCTCGACGACAGCTCCAACCCGGCCTCCAATTGCCCCCCACAGAATCCAGCACTACCGACATCATCAACAACAACAGCAACCCTCCCCATCCACCCTCCCTCCACCACCATCACCACCGCCGCGGCCCCCCCTTCCCCCTCCGAACCCCTCAACCCCTCCCTCTTCCCCCCCATCCTCCCTCCCGGCAAATCCCCTAAATACCTCCACATCCCCATCTCCGCGCCCACAAAATCCCCCTCCTCAACCCCCACCACCTCCTCCCTCGCCACCACACACGCACCGGGCTCAGCTACATCAGGCGCGACGGGCGGGTTAGCAGCGAAACACAAGATCCGCGCTGACCTCGCCAGCGTCCGCGTCTCGGAGATCCCGGATAGTGTCCGTAAAGCCGCGAGCGTGTTTGTGAGGAGTTGGAGGGCGGTGTGGGAGAAGGCTGCGGGGGAGGATGGGGATGAGGTCGGGGGTGGTGTGGCTGGGAAAGGGGGTGTGGGTGTTAGGGTCCTTGCGTGGCCTTCGCTCCGCGGTGGTGGTGGTGGTGGTGGTGGAAGGGGGGAGGGAGGAGGGGGAATGGATGTGGTGATTCCGAGGGTTGGGAGGGCGAGGAGGGTTAGGGAGAGAGGGTTGAATGAGTTGGCGTGGAGGTTGGCGTGGGTTGGGACGAGGAGGGTGGGGGGGCGGAAGGTGTTGTTGCAGAGGTGTTGTGAGTTTTTCCCCTTTTATTTTCTTGTCTTTGTTTTGGAAGGGGTTGATGGTGATGCTGGTGATGACGGAAGTGGCGGCGGCTAACGCTGGGTAGTGGATGCGTATCGCATGAAGATTAGGAAGGCGCTGGAGGTTGTGGAAGGGGGGGAGAGGTTTGAGGTGTTTGAGTTGAGGGCTGGTAAGAGGGTTTGGGGGGAGAGGATGGCGAGGGGGAGGGCTGGGGAGGAGGTTTGATGGGGGTGCTGAGGTTTGTGGTGTTTGCTGAGGGTCTTGGTTTTCTCGGCTTCCCTTATTTTTTGGCTTCTTGGTTGGGTTGCTGGGTTCTTGGTTGCTGGGTTCTTGGTTTCTAGCTTCCTTGTTTTCTAGCTTGTATCGATTTCTTTGGATGGAGCGTTGGGGGGTTTTTGGGGCGAAGGGACGGGATGGGATGGAAAGGAATGGTGTTTTACTTCTCGATGGGAGCGTTTATCATTGTCTTGGAATACTTATCTTTTGTGTGAGAACATCAAGTAGAGCGACGAATTGATATTGCTAACTTCCAATGCTAACTTCTAACACTTGCCACGTAATGTACAACCCAACTTTCACTCTCAACTCCTAGAATTTGCCACCTGTCGGCGGTTGGTAGAAATCGAAAAAGGTTCAACTGCAAAACCTCGCCTGGCGGATGTGCTCAAACTTGATCTTGTAGCGGGATGTTTCTCTCTCGAGGCGTATTTTGAGGATAGTATTTCACTTGCAGTCGAAGAGCTCAAAGTATGTCCATATTGATCATTCCACTAAGTTGAAGCATCTGCCAATGTCTTCTTTGTGCTCTGAGTTGTAGGATCATAGTACCAAGCTCGTAAAGCTTGCTTTTGTGCATTCGTAATTGAGATTCGAGGCTTTTTAGGTGGTGGAGGTGCCATTTTCTATACCGGAAGTTAAGGATCTTGGCCGGAATTCTAGTATAAGGAGGTAGTATTGCCATACAAAATTCGCGTGATTGTAGGAAGGGGTCCGGTATTGGGAGGTTTCCGCTATAGCCGAGTCCGCTATAGGCAGTGATTACTGTACTAGGGGGGAATCCGCCCCAACTCAACCCCTACAAGACCCCTTCTCCCACATAAGGAAGCTCTCGTCACTACCGCGGACCGATTCAGGTGAAACATAGAGCGAGGACAGTTCCAACATCCTCACGCACTTGGCTCTATATTTAACTGTTATTGCTAATCGAAGGATCCAAGCTAGAGCAACGAGAACGCTCGGAGGAAGCAAGAGGCGTCAATTTATTGTAACTTTGGGTCAAACGTTAGACTCCCCCGCATGCATCTAAGGGAACTCGCCAATGATGGCAGAGGGCAGTGGTGGTCTTGGTACTTAGTGTTCATCCAATATGCAGGATTGGGCTACTCTATAATAACCTTTATAAGAAAGTGAAGTTGGTTGACTTGGCGGGAGCGGATTGTCGAAAGCTTGGGGGATGAGAAATGGGCGAGGGTCGTGATGCGAGTGGCCAGTCGCTTACATAAGAACATATCTCACTGACATGTCCCGCCCTCCAATGCAAACTCTCCATCTTATCTTATCACATCTTATCACATCTTATCACATTTTATCACACCCCACTCTGCCCCCACCCACGTGCTTGTCTCTTAAACTTATAAGAGTTAGACCAGGCCATCGCACGCAGACCCAATTAGGTAAGTGTCGGCCAATCCAAAAAATTCCTCCCAAACACCCTTTCTTCACGTCAGAGTAGCCCTCAACCGTATAATTCATTAATCGGCGCCGAAATACAGCCAGTGCCTTTGTCTCTGCTTTGCTTTAGCTAACAGACAAGACAATCTGTGAACGACTTGGAGTCTTTGCGTTCACTGGGAGAGCTAGAAAGACTCGTGCGGGCCCCCTTCAGCCATCCTATATCCTACTACATTGCGCTTTTTGGAGGGTATGCAACCTCGAGACGAGCGAGCGCATTCCATTTGCAGTAGCCTAGACAGGGAAACTATTTATATTGGTATTTTAGGTGGCTCGAGTAGACGAGAAACGGCGTTATGGTTTCTCCTGAGATGACAAAGGAGACTGCTGGGATAGGCATCAGCCCAGTTGGGAGTACCGGGCATGTTGACAGGCCGGTAGATGATGGCAGGGCAGCCGCAACCGAGCAACCTCTCCACGACGACAGCGACAGCGACGACACAGATACGCCCGAGAACGAGGAGATTGGCCGTGCAATCGACGAGCTCGAGAACCAAGAGAAGTCTTGGTTTGCCTATTTAAAGACGGGAGATTTTTATATCGTCTTAATTCTCGGGTATGCTAAATAATCAATACGCCCATTGGAACTCCACATCTATGACATATACTGAGTGATAATCCAGGCAAATCCTTGCACTATGCATCACAGCTACAAACACTTTATCCACGAAGCTTGTGATGGCTGGCAACTCCACTCCGGCATTTCAAACTCTCTTCAACTACGTGCTGCTCACATTGATATACACGACATACACCATCTATACCTACGGTTTTAAGAAATACTTCAAGCTCCTTCTTGTCGATGGCTGGAAATACTTTATCCTTTCCTTTTTGGATGTGGAAGGAAACTATTTCACCGTGCTTGCTTACCGATACACAACGCTTCTCTCAGCGCAGCTACTGAACTTCTGGTCTATCGTCTGTGTGGTAATCTTGTCTTTCCTTTTCCTCAACGTACGCTACAAGTGGGCCCAGATTGCTGGGATCCTCGTATGCTGCGGCGGCATGGGTTTATTACTTGCATCTGACCACCTCCAAGGCACCAATGGTAGCCAAGGTGTAGATCAGCTCAAAGGAGATCTCTTTGGCTTGCTGGGCGCCACATTATATGGTTTGAGCAATGTCTTCGAAGAATGGTTCGTCAGTCTGCGCCCAATGTATGAGGTTCTGGGAATGCTCGGCATTTTCGGTATTGTGATAAATGGTGTCCAAGCGGCGATCTTTGACCGAACATCCTTCCACGATGCAACCTGGAATGGTGCCGTGGCGGGATATCTGGTTGGATACACGTTGGCTCTCACCATATTCTATTCGTTTGCGCCTATCATCCTCCGAATGGCAAGTGCGGCATTTTTCGACATCTCGCTGCTCACCGGAAATTTTTGGGGCACGATTATTGGCATCCATGTCTTTGGATACACGATACACTTCCTGTATCCAATTGCATTTGTGCTTATTATCATTGGTCTTATGGTCTACTTCCTTGCCGGATCCATGTTGGGAGACAGCAAGAAGCCATGGCTCGGAAAGAACCAAGAGCTCGGAGTCGAAGGTCTGGGTACCGCAAAGCGAAAGGCAGTAAAGCGCGTTATCCGTGAGCGACAACCCGGACAGCAGGCATGATGTAATTGGAGGATACCACATCATCGGATAGGGCTGGAGGTAAGTTTCGGAATTGAAGTGTTTCTTGGGTGATTGACAAGAATACACTAGGCCGTTTATAACCATTTATTTTACACAAACTGTGTATCGAACTTGATGGCCTATACTCGTCCCATGTATTTAGCCTCTAATATATATTAAAATGATGCTATCAGGCTCGTGTTAATAATTAATTTCATTGGGGATGTTTTATTTACATGCATTGATTGATGAGTGGCTTGCTCGAGAATGGATCTGTAGAAAAAGTGGGACAGTTAATCTCTTAAAAGATCTTTTATATTCCTAGAAAGAGATGTTCCCAGGTTGCTGGTTCAAGTGTATAATATCTACTACTACTCGTATGAGTATGAGGGGGGGCAGTTGGCACTCCCAAACTCATCCTTACGCCCAACTAATTAAACTTTCTCACATCATCGTCATTCTCAATCGGACTCTCATTCACCACCGCCGACCTCTCCGACTCCAGCTTCCACTTATTCTCCCGCGCAAGCATGGCCCAGATCACACCACCAGAATATTCGCCAGCAAATACCCTGCGGCAAACCCATGCCCAAGGTCTATCGCAGCTTTGTGCTCGGTCGATACAACTGCGTCCCAAGCACTGCCCCCAAGTTCCCGATGGAGATCTGCATCGCATTGGCCGTTGCACGCTTCGTCTGTCCAGAAACGTTGTTCGCAGGCCAGGCGAGCACAATTCCGGTTGCGGGGTATATACCAGCGGCGGCGAATATGGTGCCAACGTAGCTGACGCTTGGTTTGTCAGATGGGGCCGAGAGGAGAATGTTGTACCCACTAATAGAACGACAGAGGAGCCGATAATGAACGGAGCACGGCGCTTGGCCTTCTCAGATGCGACTGCGACGAGGACAGTAAAGACAGTGGCAACGGCATAGGGTGGGACGGACAGCTGCGCCTGCACAGCAGTGTAGCCGAGTGCTTTGATAATGGTTGGGAGGAATAGCGAGAGTGTGTAGAGCGGCAGACTAAGGGCAAGGCCGTAAAGCCAGCACTTCGGATCTTTGACTGCACGAAGCACAGATGGCCAGGAGAATGGTTCGTGGTTGATTGCATCGTTGTCGGCCGTTAGGCACGCCTGGACGAATTCCCGCTCAGGCTCCGTGAGAAACTTGGCTGTTTTGGGATAGTTATGGATGAACCCATAGGCGGCAAAGACAACGATAACAGTTAGGATGCCCTCCTGAAGAATAATAGTGCCCTGCATTTACGTTCGGGGCTAACAGGAGCAGTATCTTACCAAAATGAAGATCCAGCTCCATCCATTCAACCCAGCAATTCCTCTCATATGAGCAATCCCAAATGCCAAAATCCCGCCAAAGGCCCCCCCTCTTTCCCTTCCCCTCTCTGTCTATTCCCCGACAGCCAACACACGCCACTACGCTTGCGACGCTCTGTCGTCTGCCTGAAATGAGTGAGGTGGGCGCCTTTCGGCCCTTCCGCTGCTGTTCCACTTTTGCCAGGCTCCCCTCGACGGCAGCACCGCAGTCGGACACCGCATCCGGCTTGAATACGCGACGATCCTGCTTCCATATCATAACCCATCGTCTGACGGCGCTCAGCGCGTTGAGTCTGACTCGCATTGGCTCGTGATGCGGGCTTACGAGGGGCTGAGGTCGGAGCGCCCTTGAATCCGCTTCATTATGCATTGTTGTCCTTCCCCTTCAGGCAGAGTGTGCAGGAGATTTGAGGTGCTGGATGGCGGTCCGGAACGACCCTATCTCCATGACTTCGACGCTGTGACTGCGGTCAGCGCCTTGGATCTGCATCACATTGGCTTACCAAGAGCCGAGGCCAGAGCAGTCTTGGGTCTGCGTTGTCGATGCGGCCCAGTGAAAATGGAGGCCCAGTTCTCGCTAAATCCGTAGTACCTTCCCAGAAATTAAGTCTCTGCTAAAGAATCGCAGAGTGTCGTATATCTTCCCTCCGTCGAGTCGGAATCGTGTTGTGTTTCTGTCGTGGAGGGGAAAGCGGTCTACCAGACTTGCTGCTGAAAAAAAGAGGGCCACGCGGTATGTCGTCTCTGAGCGCTTAGACCACATGGATAAATAAAATACAACACCAGGAAACAATCCACTCTCCGTAGCGCCGAGGAAAAAGCGTGCGACGAGGAATCCATTGAAATTCTTGCAGACACCAAGGAGGGTCGCGACAATTCCCCAAGCTACCATGGTAGTCGGCAGCCAAAACTGTGGCGTCGTCTTTTTAAGAACTATGTTCGCCGGCACTTCGAAAATGACATAGCCGATGAAGTAGATGGTGAGCGTGCTCAGGTATTGGGTATCGGTAAAGTTCATGTCTGCTGCAAGGCCTTCAAGTTTCGCATTCCCGACTGATGGTCTTGTTAGAATCTCTCTATAGATAGTCTCTGAGACGGGGTATCATACCATTGCTTCGATAGGAAGGAGAGAAGATACAGCAGCGTCAACGGCGGGAGGAGCTTATAATCAAGCTTTCGTAGGGTTGCTTTCTCATTGATTTCTTCTCCATCGGATATGGAAGATGATGAAGTAGTGAGAGGCGGGCTGGGTTTTTCCAAGACGTCGAGCTTCTCTTTCTCATTTTCCAAGGCTGGCTTCTCGTCTGAGACGAGGGCCCCGTCTACGGTCTGGGGTGCAATCGATATGATCCACGCCTGTGGTTCTGGCTCACAGGAACTCTACTTACTACTTAGCCCAGTATGGTTTGAAGTCTCGATGGTATAAGAACTCGGGGGTTGAATTGATGCAAAGAATGGCATCAACATGTACTCTGGGCTCCGAGCAATAACTTGGAGCTTCAAATAAAATAAAATTAAAACAACGGGAAACACACAGCTTTAAGAAGCCGTGCATAGATGTGGGGTAGTTACATGGAATGCACATGTCCCACCTTCACCCCACGTTTTCGTCGTGGCCCGCTATCCCAGTGGCTCAACGAGGGCGGTGACATGCCTGGTAGTCGCCCAGCTCTCAGTTGTAAAGTGCAGGACTATCATGACGATAGCCATTTACCATCTCACGCCATCGCTACTTATCTCCCCCCTATCCCGTCTAGAACACATCGACAAGCCACCGAGATGGATGGGAACGAACCCGAACGCCGCGGTTACCAGATAATAAGTGCTCCATTGCGTGGATGAAGGGGGGCCAGCGCCACAATAATACAGCGGCAATCAGTACTTGTATGTATGTGTCTAGTAACGAGCAAAATACAACTTTTGTTATTGTGGGAAGGTGCTTACTACAGTATAATACTATAATATGAGTGCAGTGGAGAAGGAGGGTTCGAGTTGCATGTTGCTGCACAGTTGCGGCAAGTACGATGATGTTCATTCTGGGTGGGTCTGTGATGGGGGTTGTCGTCGGTCGCTTGCCGCATTCCGCGATTGCTCCGTACCTGGGCGAGATGTCGTGATGTGATGCGGCCGACCATTTTACAGCACAGAACCTCGTAACTAAGGTATCATTGTCAGTTTCTATTGTTTTTAATATTTAGAACGGCAGTTATGCGGTGTGGGGGGTTGGTATATGCCGTAGGACGTGATTTTTTATTACATTTTATTTTATTTTTTCTTTATTTATAGTTTTGCAAATGAGAAATCTTTATTCTTGACATTATAGATCTATATGAGCACCCCCAATTGAACTATACGAACATGTCAATCTTGACATTCCTCGGGTGCAATTCACCGGTTTATCTCTATAAGTTATATTAGCCCTTCCCGCAGTGTTGCACAAGTACTACTCGAGGAATTACTCGAGTAGTACTCGACTCGAAGAAATCTGAACTACTCGAGTAGTACTCGAGTAGTACTCGAGTAGTTGCCAAGACAGCCGGGGTAAGGACGTAGACAGAATTATAGCATAGGCAAAGTGAAGCTTTCAATGACTTGAATATTACTGTGATACTTACCATCGTCAAGATGAGCGAGTCTTCGCTATCACCGCCGCCCCTAGACGACCCGGGCGAATATGAGAATGCCTCTCAAGATCCACTCTTGCCCCTACCACTTGTACGCATGCCTGTACGGCCTCAAGACCAACTGTTACCAGATTCTGACTCAATCCTCTTTGCAAAGGGTCTATACTCTCGTACCCTCTTTGCAAAGGGTCTATACTCTTGTACTATTCTTGATAATGCGCCTTTAACAATATCATTTAAGTGCTTGCAGCCACATTGCACATATACACCATAACAACCTACAAAGATGCAGACAATGAGTAATCTTTGGAAGCATTTAAAGACACAACATCCAGCAATACATGCACAATATAAGAAAAAGCATGTTTAAGATGGAGATACACAGCCTCCTTCTTCAACTACAGCTACATTCTTCCAGCCTCGCAAAGTACCTAGCCATGCACCAAATTCGTCAAAATTTAGAGAGCTTCTACTCTTATTTATTGTGCTAATAACCTACCATTGCGTACATCTGAGAGTCTATCCTTCCGGCAGCTTGTTAGCCATTTAAATCTAACAACACTTGTAATTGGACGGACGACAATTGCAAGAGACTTGCAACGGATATTTTGCATTCATAAAGCAAGGTTACAACTTGAATTACAGCAGCATACTGCACAAGGTGGACAGATATCTTTAACAAATGATACTTGGTCTGCATGCAACTATTCTGAATACGCTGCAGTAACAGCACATTGGATCTCTGATAAGTGGCAGTTACGATGTACAGTCTTAGATGTTATTGAGCTACAAGAGCCAATCCATTCTGGTGAATATCTTGCAGGGCAGTTAATAGCTGTTACAGACGACTATGGTATTACTCCTGCAGTTTTTACTATCACTTGTGATAACGCTTCTGCAAACACTACCATGCTCTCAGAATATGAGAACTTAGCATGCAAGAACGAAACTACATTACCAGCAGATGAGCCAAACGCATACCGCCTTGAGTATGGAGCTGCCCGAGTTCCATCACTACCAGAAAATGAGTCAGTAGCTGTTCTTAGCAAACTTTGGCGTCATATATATGTGTTTCGCAACTGATGACAGTGGAAGGATGCCTTAAAAAGCAATGTGAAGCTGCAAATATTGAGTTTAAGCAGCTTAGCCTCGATATGCCAGTACGATGGAGCTCAACATATTATATGCTTCATTTAGCGTTAAGATTACAAGGTCCAATAACAGCTCTCTGTGCATCTAAACAGCTTGATTTAAGTATGAAAGATATAGCTTTAACAGCAAAAGATTGGTAAACTATGAAGGCGTTATTAGATTTTTTCTATATCTTTATACGCCCAACAGAGAAGCTACAAGGCTCTTCTTATCCTACTTTAGATTATGCTGTTATACAGTATATGAGAATGACGCAAAAGCTTGAAGTCTTTAAAGTTGGATATACAGAGAATAGCACAATATACGACGCTTGTTTAGCAGCATTAAAAAAGCTTAATGAGTATTATACACTTGCAACAAATCAACAGCGGAGTCATTCAACTATAGCTACAATATGCGACCCACGTTATAACTTTAATGTATTTGATATTATTTGGCCAACAAGCATTCAAGACACACGAAAAAGGCGGGCAAAAGCACAATGGCAAGACGTTATTATAAATATTCAGGCAAGGCATTAGACATCCAAACAGCAAAGGTTATGGAAAGTATCCAAGATGAGGAATTAGAAGATGAGAATTCTAAGAAGACAGAGTCTGATTCTGAGGATGAGCTATATTTCTCACAATGGCAGCCAGATTTAGATACAGAATGGAAGCGCTGGATGAACAAGCCAACTCTTGGGCCTAAAATTGATATACTCAAGTTTTGGGCAAGTAAGCAATACCAATATCCAATACTTGCCGCAATTGCCAAAGATCATTTAGCAATTCCTGCTACATCAGCAGAATCTGAGCGAGTGTTTAGTGTTGGTGGCGATATTATTACAAAGAAACGGAACAGATTAGCACCATCTACACTACGATATCTTATATGTCTTAGGAATTGGGGCGTGGTATCAGCAGGTGAGGATTAAGAGGAAGATGAGGATGCATAGTTACTGTATTTCCATAGTCTATATAGCTATCAATCATGTTTTCATTGTACTAACGTAAGTCGTGGCATAACTGGGAGAATGGCGTAAACGGGATAGTGGGGAATATTGAGCATCAATAGTATCACCAAACCAATGTAAACCCCCAACATGGTGCGAAAGCGTAGTCAGAAAGCCGAAGAACTAGAAGTTTTATTGGCACAAGCTGTTGCTGGAGTTAAATTCGGATTATACAAATCTTCGTACAGTGCTGCAAAGGCTTTACACCTTCGGCCAGACACAGTCCTTCAACGCGTTAATGGGAAACTGTCACGGAGAGAAGCTCGACAACAACAACAACTGCTATCGCCAGCGCAAGAGCAGACACTTTTAAAGTGGATTAAGGTGCTAACAATTAGTGGATATGCTCCGAGTCACCATATATTGCGGGATATTGCTGACGAAATCCGTGTCAACCGATGCCGTGTTTTCGAACTGTCGCACCCTAACAGTCAACATGCCCAACACACGCATCACGAAGAGATTCTGAACTTTCCCCTTGGACAAGACTGGGTCCCACAGTTTATAAAACGACATCCGCATTTACAAATCCAACTAGGCTGATGGGTCGAAGCACAAAGAATGAGTGGAGTTACAAAAGATATGTTAACGGGGTGGTTTGACGCGTACAAGGACCTTGTGGCACGTCTAGGAATACAAGAACACAACGTGTATAACATGGATGAAACTGGATTTTCGATTGGCACTATGGAGTGTACTCGGATCATCGTTGATTCTACACTCCGTACACGTCACCAGGCACACCAAGGCCGGCAGGAATGGGTGTCTGCTGTTGAATGCATCTGTATGGATGGAACGACCATTAACCCTCTTATTATATTCAAGGGTCAGAATGTCTTACAAAACTGGATCCCTCCTGAGGTTATCGATAAATGGCACTTCTCTGCTAATACAAAGGGTTGGACAAGCAACTTACATGACATCGAGTGGTTAAAACGCGTGTTTGAACCAGCAATGCATGCGAAAGTGACATCTAATGGAGCACAACAACAACGGTTACTCATATGCGATGGCCACGACAGTCATATAAGTGGAGGCTTTATATCCCATTGTATGCAAAATCGAATATCTATCCTTGTCCTCCCACCGCACACTTCGCATGTGTTGCAACCACTCGATGTTGCAGTCTTCGGACCATTGAAAAAACATCTCACAAGTGCGCTCTCACATTTGAATGAAGTGCAACCTACACGCATACAAAAAGCAGAATGGTTATCTGCATACATCAAAGCGACAGCAATTGCGCTATCTACTCATAATATTACATCTGCGTGGAGGGGTGCTGGTCTACAACCTTTCCAACCTCAACGGGTGATCCGGATGGTGACGCATGTGACAGATGATCGACCAAAAACACCAACTGAGTACGATATTTTTGACACTGTCTTTCAGAACAGTAGTCCACCCGACTGTTCTACATTGCACAAAGCGAACACTGTCCTGGTTGCGGACTTAGAGACGCGTACAGTCCTAAACACACCCACTACTCGATATATCCGTCGGTTGGCTGATGAGACTGAGCGACTTAATACATGCAACTTCTTACACCAACGCAGGCAGATAACCTATGATCAATAATACAAACACGGAGAGCACAGAGCAAAGGAAAACGCGCAATTTTAAAGGGCCAATTCCACATAACTACAGAGGAATTACGCTCCCAAGTCATTGAGGCCGAGGAGGCCACCCAGAAAGCGACTACCAAAGGCAAGAGTACAGCGACAAATATCACTGTACCTGACCAATACCAACGGCCAATTCCCACCAACCTGGCGGATCCATCCGAGCGAAAATGGCTGTACTGCAAATGCTATAGGCCTAGATGTAGGCTGTTTTAGCCCTTTAAAAGCTTCGTATAGCAAGGCAATTGAGCAGATGATGCGGAGGCATATAACTCACATTACTAAAGACGACTTCTTTCCTGCCTTCCAGCAGGCCTTTTTTGCTTCAATGGGAGAAGAGAATGTACGAGCTGGCTTCCAAGCAACTGGCCTTGTTCCATACGACCCTGAAACAGTAATTTCTCGGCTGGATTTTAAGCCTAGAACGCCTACACCGTCAAACTCTCGGCCAGGAACCGCTACCTCCTGGGGTCTAAAAACGCCAACTACAGCAATTGAGGCTGTTCAAAGCTCTACTACCTTGAAATCTAGGATTTCTAGGCATCAGGGTAGCTCTCCAACCCATTTATATAACGTAGTTGATGCCCAGGCTAAAGGTATCTCAATGCTAGCACACAGACTAGTTCTTCTTGAAGCTGAGAACCAGGAGCTTTGTACAGCAAATGAGTTACTAAGCAAACGCCGGAGGGCTAAAAAGAGCTGCCTACAGCTTGGAGGTTCGCTTTCAGCACCTGAAGCTAATGCGATACGGCTAGAAAAGGGTATAGTTGATGCTAGGAGAGAAAATACAGGTAGTTCTACAGAGCTCAGCTACGTACTCAGCGTTGTGGCAACTGCAGCCAAACTCGTCATAATTCGCGAACTTGTCAGGTAGTTTGGAGACGTCTGAAGATGGCGATTCTGAGTAGTTTTAATTGATTTAAGGCGTTGTAGTTGAATTGATTTATATAATATATAGGTGGTCAGTGGAAAGTGGCCAACTCGCTTGGGTGGCCGACTCGTTATACATGTACGTTAACTTAACTAATTTATAAATAGTTCTATTTAATCAGTATCAAATTGTCTATAATGCAGAACATCACCGCCTTCGCTGCAACGGCCATATCATCAACTTGGCAGCTCAAGCATTTCTATTCCACTCAAGTGATGAAGCTCTTGCAGACTATAATAATACAAATACGTTAGCTACTCCTACAGAAACAGAAATGCAACACTGGAGGACAAAAGGCCCACTTGGCAAGCTTCATAATATTGTAGTCCACATACAATGAAGTGCACAGCGAATGGCTACCTTTCGTATGCTAAGTCAAGATCGTAACCTCTTACGGGATAATGCAACTCGGTGGAACTCTTGGTATAGGATGTTACAGACTGCAACAACTTTACGGGCTGCAATTGACGTATACTGTGCACAGTATCAGGAGAATACTGCTGATATCTTGTCTGCAGAAGACTGGCGGAACTTACAAAAGATTGAGAATTTCTTATTGTGCTTCTATGATGCCACACTCTCTACAGAGTCTCGGGGTGCTACAATTGAAAGAGTATTACCAACAATGGACTATTTGCTTGAGCAATTTGAGCAGGGTAAGACCTTATATGCAGAGGACGCATTCATGAGCCCATGTTGCAATTCTGGATGGGCAAAGTTGGACAAATACTACAGCTTGACAGACAGATCTCCTGTTTATATTGCAGCTTTAGTACTATGTCCGCAAAATAAGTGGCAATATATGGAGGATAACTGGCCAATTGAATGGATTACCGATGCAAAAGCAAAGGTACAGCTCTTTTGGGATAGAGAGTATAAGTCTACAGCAATCACAGTCCCTACACCAGCTACCGAGACAGCTTCTACAGTACATAACGCTTTTCAGGAATGGCAGAAGAAGAGACAACGGTCACAATTTGATATTGATGAATATACAAAGTATCTACAAGCTGCAGTATTGCCCGAAGTAACAGATGCAAGATCTTGGTGGCTAGAAACAACACAGCGTAACAGCTATCCAGCTCTCTCAATAATGGCACTTGATATATATTGTCTATTCCTGCAATGTCTGCAGAGCCGGAACGGTTATTTTCAGGCGCTAAAATCACCATTACAGACCGTAGGAATCAGCTAGGTATTGAGAATATACAGGCTATTGAGTGTCTCAAATCTTGGCTTGGAGGAAGTAGTATTGCATGGGTAGAGGAAAAGGAGGAATAGTTACGTGTTAGTAAACTGCAGTTAGGCAGTTATACAGTTGGTTATACCGTACAGTTCTGCAATATATTGAAACAGTTGGTTTTAGGATTACGCAGTTCTTGGCAGTTGGTTTGGGCTCTTAAAACTGCCAAGAACCAACTGTTTCAACTACTGGATACACTGTATGTCTGCGTTGATGGAAACGGAGTCCTTGCAAGCTTCCGCAAAATCCATCCATTAATCTCCGAATACCTAGCGCCAGGCAACAAGTACGTCGTCTTCGACCTCTTGGGATAGAAGACCAGCATCCTAATCTGCTACGACAACAATGTAACTGAAAATGTGCGCGCTACCGCTCTTCTCGGTGCCGAGATCATCTTCATGCCGCACGTCACGATGTGCACGCCATCTACACGCCCTGGGGCTGGGTTCGTGGACCACCAGCTGTGGCAGAATCGAGAGCGGGACCCCACGAGCCTGCGCGCGGAATTCGATGGGTTGAAGGGGCGGGCCTGGCTGATGACGTTGCTTCTGGCACGGGCATACGACAGTGCAGTGTTCAGCAACCCCATTGGAATGGATGACGACCAGCTGAAGAACGGGTGCTCGATGGTGCTGGATCCGTTTGGGGATGTGGTTGCTGAGTGTCGCAAACTCGGCGAAGCGATGGCAGTGGCGGTATGCTCGCGGGAGAAGATGGAGATGGCTGGGAGGTTCCGGTATAGGAAAGCAAGGAGGCCCGAGTTGTATGGGCATATCGTTGGAAAGGATCGTGAGTCCAAGTTGGCGGTTACTTGGATGAGTAAATAATGAGGTAGACACTTCGTTATAACTTGATTGCACTGCAGTTGTTGGGCTAGGTGGAAATGAATTATCGGCCGCATCATTGCCCAAAATTCAAAGCCTATTGGGAAAGATATCATTCCGGAACCGAGACAATTAACATTGACTAAGAATATTTAAAAAAGATAGCTAGGATAACTATTGTGAAAATTGATGACAGAAAAGCGTTCGATACACACCAGAGTCGTGTAACAAAGACGAGCACTGCGTTGATGAATAATGAAGATCGTAACATCGTAGGTAGCTCTTCATCGAGGTAGTTGTCAACTATATACCAAGCATATTCAGACCAATCAGACCACATCAATATAGGCCACTCCTTGAAATTATCAGTATTAGCCTCTAACAGTTTACGGTGCTTCCATATCCAGATTCCTCGAAGAGCTCCATCCTTCCCATACGGCTGGTGCCGAACAAGCCATCCGCGCCACCTCTCGACGACTTCCAGCGCATCTGGTTCCGCAACTTTGAACCACTCGGCATGATCAGCTTTCGCGTCTTCTTTTTGCTTACGACCATTTTTCTTGCATGTTCCGCACTCATACGTTTTTCTACTGTTCGATAACTCCGTGTGTACGAGTTTCTCGACTATCCCATAATATAGAAACCTCTTGTCGTCAGGATCAGATATGCGCTCGAATGGCAACTTGCAGCTATTTGCCCACTGCTTAACACGTAACCCGTGTTTCTGCTTTGACTTTCCGATCTTAACGTTTCCTTCGGAACTGTCTAATTTGTACATATACACGAAGCCCTTTTCCTTGTCAAGGATGTGCTTCATCTCTTCCTGGAGAAGGACGTCGAGTATAGCAATTTTGATATCGGTATGCGACTTCGTCTCCTGGTACTGCTCAAATTTTATGCTGCCGGCCTTCTTAGCAGTATCCACGTCTGGCTTCTGGTCGACCTTGATTGAGGGGTGCACAGCCTCGGCTACTTCTGTATCGCTGGTTGGTTCTCGAGCCGCAGAGTCTGGCGCTTGATCGGCCGTCGTTGACGCCTGGTATTCATCTGCGATAGCTTCATGTTCATCTAAACGACGCCCTTCTTCTCTCAAATTCTGAGATGACGCCTTTTTATTGACATTAAGAGGAAAATATGACTCTCCGACATTCGGATCAGTAGTTGCACTAGCGTTGGTTTGAACTTGATTTTTCTGGAGAAGCCTCGCTGATTGCCGGCGTTCACCCTCCAATGTTGATCTCTTTGATTTGCGTGTTACCTTTGGTTTGTTGAGCGTTTCCTTTGATATCTTGGGCGTCCCATTTGATTCCCTGGGCGTTGTAGCAACATTGTTAGAAAGGGAGCCTATAACTTCAACTTCTGGTGAAGTAATTGAGCTAGCTGTTGTCTCTATAGGCTAGTCTTCGGACATGGGGTTGCGGATCTGTTGGGAGATGAGTCAACACTTCAAGGTCTGGTGGTAATGGCGGTATCACGGGCGGACCATTGACTAAATTCAGATGGACATCTTCGGAAAGCGACCTCGTAGGACTTAAAGAAGAGCCACCTCTTCTAGCTTTCTCCCATGATCGAGTGTCTCTCACTCTCACATCTTCAGTTCCTGAGTGAGAATAGCCGTCGTTGCTTGCCACGTCTGTCACCCCAAGACCCTCTGAATTCTGCTCAGCTTCCGCGTTGAGTTTCTCCCCGCTCACATTCCTAGGCGTCGGTGAGTTATTGCTGGCCACAAAATTGAATTTATAACCATTGCTATACACCAAACTACCGGATCCGAACTCAAAAGCGTCTTCTTCATGCTGCGGAGTTGAAGGGCGTTTAACCGCAGCGCTGTTGCCTTGAAAGTTTTGAAGTATTTCTACAATCGATTTTTCGGAATCCTTTCCCTTCGGATTAGCTTCGCATTGTATGGGATTCTGTCCCTTGGACTCCGCAGAGAGGTGTCCCCATACCACTAGAGCTGTCATTGAAGTGGCTTGAGAAGGTTGATGATTGGCTGGTATTGCTTGAATCGGTCGAAGGCGTACTGCTTATTCCTGGGCGACTTGGGGTCGAGGGGCCGTCTGCCGGGGAGGCAATATTATCGGCTTGCGGCATTGCCTCAGCCGATATGAGGGGTTCAGACCTCGATATTGACTCCGTAGCTGTATCAGTGCAGCTCTTGACAGGTGTTGTTACGGCATCCATATCGACAATGTTATAACAGGCCAATTTAAGATTTTAACAAATTGGGATTAAATTCACTGAACGGACTTTCAGTAGTGTTCCACATAGAGTATCGACAGAAGAACCAACCTGGGGATATGGCAACCATTTGTATACCCTCGACTCAGAGGGGGGCTGGGGCGAACTGGCACACACATCTCCTGCAGTACCCAGCGATACCAACAGAATGGCACCTGTAGTAGGCCCAATGCGACACTGCCAAGCAGAATAGCTCCCTGAAGACCTCGCAACCCCGCCGCGATTGCTTAGGACCGGGAGACTTCCCGTACCCGAGCCGCTCTCAAATATAAAACCGGGCCTGCGCCGAAGAATATACGGCAAACATAGCATTGAATCGGCGACGTCCATAGCTTCAACTGCACGCTAACTGGCGCTACGATGTCGCTGGGAACTGCGCGAGCTGAATTTCCGTAGAATACGCCTGACGTTCAGCCGTAATGGATGGGTTCTCATGTACCCCAGCTGGGTGCTGGGATTGCGAGACGACAACCACAAGGGGCTGCGCCATGGTTGGATATGCGCGTCGATACCTTTCGAGCTGCATTGTAGCTCTTTCGGGGTATAGTCTGATGCACAACAGTATTGACCCTTGCGGCTAATGCCCGAAGTTAGGCAAACATTGTGCCAGCCGTGTTCCTCCCTCGCGTAAGAGCGAGGAAGCTTTGGAGGCACGTAATTCCGAGCCTATCCCCTGGATCAAGCATCTGGGGGTCGCTATCACACGAGTTCGATGCGCATGTTTCCAACAACACATATCACATCAATGGCTGACTCGCCGTGTTGTGCTCAACAAGCCTTCTTCAGGAGCTTAGATCATTAGGATGTTTCGTCTAATACGTAATCGTAATTTAGACCTTTGAAAAGCAAACAAATTATGCCGAGTCGGGGAGGCCCTTCGGGAGGACCGAGCCCTGCACAAGGGATTCATTGTTGGTTCATCAACAGCGTGCATATATGTAGCAAGGGATATGTTGGTTCTATATGCAGGAGGTAAGGGCCTAGGATTATATTGTTCCGGCCCAACCACCAGCCTCCTGTGCATGGTTGCTGGATGCAGCGCTGTTTTCAAAATATCGTTCATCATTTGGTTAGTTGACTTAAGAAATTAGAGTCCATGGTACTCTCTACACATTGAATACAACTTTCCCCAATTAGTGAGCGTTGGCACCGTTGTTGAGTAAATAAATGGTGTTGCGCTATGCGGACCTCGCACCGTTTGACATATTTCGGGGTCCGATGACATCGGTTCCTCCGTTTCTTATTAAAGGTGGGAGGCACCAATGACGACACTCACCACTGATTGAACGTGGTGCGGGGGAACGAATATTTTTCGCCCAAATAACCAGCCTTAAACTCAGAGTTTTTTGCAACAACTGCGCTCGCGCTGGTCTCGAGCTACGCGGCGCTCGCAACCTACTCCATCCAATCTTCCTCGCCGCACCCTATGACCGATGGTTTAATCCTGCCTGTGAAATGACCTGGGACGTGGGACAAGGGATTCGAGGTGGGTACACGGGCAATAGTAGGGGTGTTATTGCTACCCTTGGGGCGTTTATAGGGGTTACTTGGTACAATTCCATCGAGCTAATTATCCTCATATTGTTCACCTTCAAAAAGTATCAAGGGACTTATTTCTGGAGCTTGTTGATTACAACCATAATAGGAGTTCTGGTGCACTCTATCGGTTACCTGATTAAGGATTTCGAACTCACGACAGCAACATGGGTGCCAGTCACTATCACCACTATTGGCTGGTGGACAATGATTATTGGCCAGTCATTCGTTCTGTATTCCAGACTGCATTTCGTCGTCTGGGACAAGAGGATCCCCCGCTTTGTCCTGTGCATGATCATCACGAACATATTCCTGCTTTTAGTTCCGACCACCGTTCTCACATATGGCTCCAACTTCTCGAGCTCCCAAAAATTTCTGGGTGGCTATATCATCATGGAGAAGATTGAGATAATAGGCGTTAGCATCCAAGAGATCATCATATCAGGTCTTTACATATACGGGACGCGAGAGATGTTAAAGTTTAACCTGGAGGGAGAGAACGGAAGCATTCTCCTCCAACTTGTTGGCATCAACTTCGTTTTCATTCTCATGGACATCGGTCTCATCGCCACACAATATTCGAACCTGTTCACCTATCAAACAACGCTCAAGGGCTTGATATACAGCATCAAGTTGAAACTCGAATTCTTCGTTCTCGGCAAGCTCGTGCGCATTGCCAACCGTCGCGGTGGCAAGCCCGAGCCTCAAGACATTAGCGAATTCGTCGATACCGTTCAAGTCACCTCTGATATCACCCATGCGGACAATCCTAATCCGTCGATGCGCCAACATCCTCCGCCACCCCACATGTGCCCCGAAGATGTCTCAATCGCCGTGTTCGAACACTCCGACCGCAACAACATGCTAGAAGGAGACACCTCCCTCTCCAGCACCTCAAGGGTCACGTCCGATTCACCCCCGCACGCCTCCCCGTGAATTCAGCGACGGAGTTAAACCGCCATTCCACTGAATCGCCACCGACTGACTCGCCCACACATTCGGTTTGACGCATCCTTCGAAAACCCAAACTATCAGAATATGGATCGACTGTGGCGGGCGGCAGCTCGACATGGGGTTCAAGGGGGCGTCGGTGACAGTTGGCTCTCAGGGCTTTTGATTCAGATGTGTCTCGCAAAAAGTGTGCGGGCTCGCCGCTACAAGTACTCGTCCCTGAAGAAACCATGGGCGCCCAGACACTATGGCACCCCATTGCCAGCCGCACGTACCCCGAGTAACACGCGACACATGGCTTGGCTATTCGCGCATAAAAAGGGGGCGACACATGTTGTTTCGGAGAGGGGTAAATAATGGTCAAGTAGTGCATCTTACTGTGCATCTTACTGTATCAATTCCTGTTGTGGATAGCCACCATCTGACGACTGCTGTCGAGAAGCGGCTCGAGGACCTAGAGTCCAAGGTTAGCACTGTTAACGACAATGTCACATAGATGCTAGCGATGAGTAGCAGAGGGGGAATTAGGAGGGGAATTAGGGGGAGGACAATAGGGATGTACATACGTATAATAGATAGGACTCTACTATAGGTAGAGTTAATCCAAACTGGTTCCTCTGCTCTCGCTCTTGTAGGCATTTCTACACATTTGTGAGCAAGACAGCGACTACAAAGTATGTAGCGACAGGCTCACAAATGTGTAGACATGTTAACAGAGGACAGAGTAGCGTTCCATCGCTACTAGTCCTTAGGCAAGCTAAACCGCCTAAGTAGATGCTTAAACAGGCACATAGTGCTAAAGGCAGAGGGTCTTATAACACTCTATGATCTATAGAGTGTTATAAGACCCTCTGCCTTTAGCACTCTTGTAGGCATTTCTACACATTTGTGAGCAAGACAGCGACTACAAAGTATGTAGCGACAGGCTCACAAATGTGTAGACATGCCTAACAGAGGACAGAGTAGCGTTCCATCGCTACTAGTCCTTAGGCAAGCTAAACCGCCTAAGTAGATGCTTAAACAGGCACATAGTGCTAAAGGCAGAGGGTCTTATAACACTCTATGATCTGTTAAGAGGTTAGCACTAGTCACAAGATTACGTCGAGCATGGCCCGGAAATATCCATGGCTCTGTTCTGCTCACGTCTCGCGATTTCAATTCTGCTCATAGTCTCGCTGAAACAGGATTCCACGTTCAGCCATTTGACGACATTACTGGTTCCAATGTACTCCTCCGCTTAGTTGGACTCGATTCCAACCTATCTTCAAATCAAGAAAAGGCCAGAGAAATTACGCAAGCTTTAGGTGGTCTACCTTTAGCACTTAATCAAATTGGGGGGTTTATAACTCAACGGAAATGTCCATTACAAGAGTTCCTTGCTCTTTACGAGCGCAATGCGGCAAAGATTGATTCTAGAAAAACAGGATTTAACGAGTATGAACACACGTTGAGTACAGTCTGGGAGATGTCGTTCAGCAAGCTGTCAGGTGACTCCTGTACGCTGCTCAATGTGTTGGCGTTCCTAGAACCAGATGCAATCGATGAAGCGATACTTGTTGAAGGGTCAAAGCTTCCAAATTGGGACGAGGAATTTGATTTTCTTTCGGATGAAATGGAGTGAGAATTTTACTTCCCAGAAAACCGTACTTTGCAGCGAGCTAATAGAAGTAGTCTTGGTGATGCGGAAGCAGCACTTTTGCAAGCCGCCCTGATTGATAAGAGCACTGATGATGCGGTCCTGTCAATTCATCGATTGGTGCAAGCTGCTGTTACTCGAAGGCTCACTAAAGGCGACCAGAGTAAGTATTTTGACGCTGCTGTTCGCATTGTTACGTGCGGATTCCCGAACACCTGGCGTGAAGACGTTGGCCATCAATTCAAAACTTGGGCAAAATGCGAGAAATACCTCCCACATGTCAATCAGTTGGTAAATCAAGCAAAAAGATACAATATATATTCTTTAACTGCACAACTCTATGGAGAACTGCTTCTACAGTGTAGCTGGTAAGTTTACTTCGCATTCCCACCATGACCCAGTCCTCGATTGCTTACCGTGATAGGTATCTCTACGAACGAGAATGGTACAATGTGGCCCGAGACTTTATTAGTACAGCACTTGAAACTTTTGAGGATAAGACAACTCTGGCCTTTGCGAGTGCGGTTGACTTGTCTGGACTGATTGACCTCGACATGAACAACCCATCCAGCGCCCTTATCCCATTCAACACTGCACTCGAGATTCGACAGAAGCTAGTAGGATCTAAAGACCCGCTCATTGCATCTAGTTTGAACAATATTGCAATTTCATACACAGAGATAGTGACCTAGAAAAAGCATATTCTACACATGAAAAGGCCCTAACAATTCGTCTCCGCGCGGATACCAGAATTGACAACACCTATAGCAATATGTCAAGTTTGCTTCTACGAATGGGGAAGCCTGATGAGGCTGAGGATATCATGAGAAAGTGCCCAGCCCTAAAGGATTTTACAGATGAGAGTTTTATAAATACTGGAAATACTCGTTATGTTGGCAACATGGTCTTGCTTTCTCGCATACGCCTAGCTCAGGGCTCGCTCGACGACGCAATGCGGCTTGCCTCGAAAGCTCTTACGTTCCGACAGAAATTACACGGAAATAGACTGAAGACTTGTGATTCGTTGTATGATGTAGCAGATATGCTTGTCCGTCAGGGGTGTGTATCTTCTGCAATGTAAGTTTTTAGATTTCTCCCAGCTTCCTGGTATATGCAGGCTTACACTAAATAGCGAGCTTCTCAAGCAACTAGTAGCCATATCTGAAACCTTAACTGAGGCCGAAGGACAGCTCGCAAGAGCTAGTTACAAGCTGAGTGTTCTATATGATGAGAACGGCAGGCCAACAGATAGTCAAGCTTGTAAATCTCGCGCGATTGCTCTGAAGGATAAATTGAGACCCGAATTGAAGGACGGCCTATTTGAAGAAAGCGAGTTCATGAAACTATGTCCCTTTATGTTGTGGTGAAGAGGAAATAAATACTTTCATATTATATACTTGCGGTCGTTGACTGGGCCCATTCTGGATGGTATCCTGACTATTGGGAATATTGCAAAGCAGCCTACACTTGTTCGTTTGATGGAGAATGGCGTAATAGTTGGATCCCAATATTTCTAGAACCACGGCCTGAGGTGCATGAGATCTTTGCAGAATATACACGGGCACTGGGAGCTGTATAAAAAATATATCATATTCTGGTTATAATCCTTGGTCAGCCATGTGCAGAGGGCCCGCAGATACATCTACTTCGTTGGTGGTGTTGCACTGAAGATTTCGCCAGCTCTCAGGAGCGCGCTTATGGCGATCGTCATCCACATCAAAATCACAAGAGACTAAGTTATGGCAGAATATAAAGCGGTGACTACATTTACGAAGCTCACGTGAGTTAGACAAGGGGCGACGTTTGTTGGAGGTAAGTTCCGGCCAACGGAGAACTCCACACAAAATCGTGTGATAATCTCCGGGTACCGGAAGCTGCTGGATTCAGCAGCCTAAACACCACTACTTAGACTAAATATGTAATCTCAGTCGTGTTGTTCGCTGGAGATGTTTGGAGTCTTCTTAGTGGGCATTTAGCGCATACCTTTGGGAGTTAATATAAGACGATGAGCTTGATTCTTGGGTACTATAATTTCAGAGACAGTGATAATTTACATGACTGGCCAAAAACTGACTCACGAAATAATGAAAAAACAACGAGGAAAAAAGAAACTATCCCCAGTATGGAGGCTGTGATATCTTTGCCAACATAACGTTCTTCCTCTTGTCCTCATCTTTCTTCGTCTGTAACTTGCGAAGTTTGTCTGGGGAGAGTTTCCCCATAGGCTTCGGCTCCCGAGTCAATTTAGGACCCACGCTGTCAAGTAACAGGTTTATATACCTGGTGTCAAACAAGCCTGGTTGCTGTGGGAGCTGTGCGGCTTCAATAAACCACTTCAACCCTCCAACTGTAGCGGGGATCTTTGAAATCTTGTCTGAGTGACCATGTTTGATGGAAGCTTGTACAAACGACATTGCAAGCTCCACCCACATAAAGACATCGCGGATAGACGTGCTTGCTGCACCACGACGAAATTCAATGGTTCCTTTAGGGGTTTCAAGGAGATAGAGGAAATTCCACCCAAAGAACTTATCGTGGTTGGGGTCAGTAGTACAAGCTCCCGGACACTTGTACATTTCTCAATGACAACCATGCTTTCCCGTCGGGATAAGCGCTTGTATCCAAAGTTGGGGTTATCAAGCCAATTGCTTCTTGCGTACTCATTTCCAAGGCGCGCCCTTGGGAGGATTGCTTCAAAAGCAGGTTCAAAGTAAATAATTGACTGGCAAATCCGCTTGAGGGCAGAAAGAGAGTATCCCTCAATAAGAGAAATATGCACGTGAGTGCCACAGCTGTCATTCGAGGTGATATTATACCTCGCCTCCAAATGACTCCACATGGCCGCAACATGATTTTGCCAAATAGAGTTCTCATATGCGCGAAAGATTGGCGAGATATTCTCAAGTCCCCCTAAATATTATGTTAGTGCATTTAAAATATTTTAAACGCTGTGAGAAGGATACTCACATGGTGCCTGATTCTTATTCGGCGTCTCAATTGTAGAGTCAGAGTCAAGTGACCACTCAGAGTAACGCTCACCAAGGTAAGACTCGTTGATAGCGTTGTGCATCCCAGGATGTTTGTCGACTTTTTCATTTATGAACTGGTTGTATGTAGAGGCTATGACTCGTGAGAAATCCCGAATGTTCTCTCTGTTGAGACTTTTGTCACGGGCTACAAGCAGGAATTCCGTCTCTATCCCAATGCCTATTGTGCCTGGTGGATAGGCTGGCTGTACATGTTTTGGAGGCTTTTGGACCCGAGAGGTAGATAGATTCAACGATGAGGGAGGCGGGGGGGGAGGAGGTGGAGGCGGTGGAGGCGCAGAAGTCGGCTGATGCTTTGAGAATAGACTGGCCACGGTCCGGTCCGGTCCGGTCTTTTAATGTTGAGTGAGGACTGTTTTACGGTCCAGTCTTTTTTTTTAGGACTGGACCGTGAGACAAAAAGACCGGACTGATAACATTCTAGTCTTTTTTTTAGAGTGTAGACTGTTTGCTAAAGTTGAGGTCCCTTTAAAAGACCGGACTGATAATAGTCCAGTCTTTTTTTAGAGTGTGGACTGTTTGCGAAAATTGAGGACTGTTTAAAAGACTAGACCGTTCGGTCTTTCCTAAGAACAGTCCGGTCCAGTCCAGTCTTTTACATTATAAGTGGGGGCCACCACATGTCATCACATGATATGTTATTAGGAATAGCTTTAAGTGCAATCGAATATTAATAACGTTACTATTAAGTGTTACTGTACATGCATTTTGAGGTATAAGTTGAAAATAGTATAACTATAATAGTTCCATTTACACACTGTTAAATAATTACACGTGATTATATTTACACGTGATATTATATTTACAAGTGATATCATATTATTCAATCAAAATCGATCATAGAGTAGTCAATTAGTTATGACTTATATTTGATATGAGTTTAATTAAGCATTAATAGCAGCTACTAACGTTACTATTAATTATTACTATAGTTTGATAAATATTATAACGTACATGTATAGCGAAAGCGCCAAACAAGCGAAAGCGCCAAAATTATCTACCCTCATGACAAACATTGCGATAAATCTACCACAACATTAGAAATCAATTGAAACTACTCGGAGTCCTCTTCCTCAGAGGTGTCTATTACAATCTGACACGTGCGCGCATTGTGCCCAGTCTCACCACACTTGCCACAGCGACGGGCACGGGTTTCTTCCCTTGGCTTCCGACCACGGCTTGCCCTTATTTCCTGCTCTACCTGCTGCACAACATCCCTCTCATCCTGTAGCTCTTGCGCCCCTTGTTGACTAAGTGATCCTCCTTGCTGTAGTCGTGTTTTCCTAGCTCTCCGGCGCTTGCTTAGTACTTCATTTGCCTGTCGTAGGTTTTGGTTCTCTCCCTTTAGCAGTGCTAATTGATGCATTATTTGCGATGCACCCTTTGTAAACTGGTCAACAGCTGCATAGATTGAGGTTGGAGAGCTATTTTGATGGCGTGAAATCCGAGTTTTAATAAATGTAGACTGTGACATAGCTTCAATTGGGTTGTTTGGTGTCTGAGAAACCCAAGGTTGAGCAGTACCTGGGCGGGAGCTTGGAGGCGTTGGTGTCCTTAACTTAAGATCAAGTGTAGATATCACTCTCTCAGGGTCAAATGGAAGAAGCCCTGCCCCTCGGAACCCGCCTCGAATGTTACTTTCCGTCATTGTAGTGTTAAATGCAGTGTGGAAGGCAGGAAAGAAGTCATCCTTTGTAATATGAGAAATATGAGCCTGCATCATATCTTCAATTTGCCGACCATAGGCCTGCTTTAACGGGCCGAAACAGCCAACATCAAGTGGCTGGAGTAGATGAGAAGAGTGAGCAGGCATACAAAGCGTAATAATGTTGTGTTCCTTGCAGTACTCCTCAAACTCATCTGAGTGGTGGCTCTCATGACCATCAAGGACTAACAAGCGATAACCACCAACACTCCAGGCCTTTGTATGCTTCTCAAAGTGCTGAATCCAATCCATGCCTCTCTCGTTTGTAGTCCAGCCATTTTCAGTAACAGAAATCACCCAATCGCTTGAAAATCCACTATTCTCATACCAAGATGTAAGGTGGTTTTTGCCTGCAACAATGATAAATGGTGGTACTGCCCAACCTTGAGAACTAACGCCTTGGATTACTGTAACCCATTCCCGATTACCAGGCTGTACCTTCTTTGCTTTTGCCCGCCCGTCTGAGCTTGTTACAACCATAGCAGTTGAGATAACGCCCATCATAAACCCAGTCTCATCAAAGTTGTAGATATCTGCTTCATCGATACCATATTTCGCAATTGTGTTACGCACAAGCTCAAACCAGCCATTAATAACTTCTGGATCTTCGCACTTAGCCCTCTGGTAGTCGTATTTGCGCTGAAAGCGTGTCTGGAGCTCTACACGCCGCTTAACAAAGTTTGAAGCCCAACGCGACCCAACGCGTGACGCGTCGCGTGTTGCAAGTAGTCGACTTGCCATATCTTCAACAACAGACAGCCGAGGAGGAAACCCTTTGGCAGCTAGGTCGAGTATATACTGAACAAGGACGGACTCCTCTAGGTTAGTTAATTTCCGTGAGTTGGCTTGGATATCGCGTCGTGAAGGTACACCTTCTAGACGACGACCTAGCTTGCGGTGGTCCACAGAATAGATCCTAGCAGCAACTCGAAGGCGTAACTTTGGGTCGCTTTGCATAGCCTGGATAGCTAGCACTAATTGGCTTTCATCGTTTTTATGGGGCATGTTTTGTTGTTGAGGAATTTAACATTTAGTTGGGGGGTTTGGTCACCGCATCATTTTGGCGCTTTCGCTTGTTTGGCGCTTTCGCTATACATGTACGTTAGTATAATGAACTTCAGTTTCATCATAAATTATGTAATTAAGCGTTACTGTATACCGTTACTGTCATGACTGAAATACTAAAGACAGGTTGTGAAATCATCAATTGACTATTTATACAAGAACACACTAATTTATCTAATGCTGCGAGAATTGGCGAACCAGGACACAAGCTGCATATCCTTGTTCTGGATGGTGATACGCTTGGCGTGGATGGCGCACATGTTGGCCCCTTCGCACTATTAGTATAGTTTTTGTAGGTGTTCATAGAGACAGCTTACCTTCGAAGTATGACACAAGGTGGGCCTCAGCGGCCTCTTGGAGGGCACAGATGGCAGTAGACTGGAAGCGGAGGTCTGACATGAAGCTTTGCGCGACTTCACGAACAAGACGCTGGAATGGGAGTTTGGGGAGGATGAGGGCGGCCAACTTCTGGTAGTGTCGGATCTCGGCGACGATCCGTTCTTTCATATAAGTTAGTAGTGTGAACAATATTCTATTAGAAAAGAATAGCATACTGTTGACAGAAGCCTTGCTCAAAGGAGGGACAGGGCGAGGGGCTTGTTGTGGGAAGTTGGAGCCAGGGTGATCCCGCTCCCAGTTCCTTTTCTGGGCATTGTAGCTCCAGATCTTTTCTTGGCGGGCTCGGCGCGCAGTCTTGTGAATATCGACTGTTTGTTGAGTTAGTAACCTTGTATTGCTTGTAGGGTAGGGTGGAATACTTACCGTGGCGCTCAGGCTTTTGCTTGGTGCGAGCCATGGTACAGATGTGAGCGAGAGCGATATCTAAACATGTTAATTTGCCATATTGTAGCAATTTGGCGTTACTGCTGGGCGTTACTGTAGTTGTAACACCCAAAGAACAAAAGGGGTGAACTTACAAAGGTTGGTGACAGAAGGAAAAATTGCTAGAACTTGTATATTAGTAAAATAAACACAATACCGTTACTCTACAGCGTTACTGTAGGGTTAAATCAAATGTAAAGAAGATTGAACTTACCGATGTTGCTAGACGCGTTATCTCAGAATTGTTGTAGAAGTTAGGATCGAATTCGAAGTAAGGGCGCTTAAGTGTTGTTGCAAACAAAAAAAACTCTGTTTCTTGTTCCAAATCCGGACGTGTCAATAACAAAGAATAGTACGAGTAAGTTAGCAAAGAAACCACCCTTACATTTGATTACCTCTGATTATTAACTTCCTTTTAGATTTCCAAATTTATTGACTATACCGACCCCGACCAGTAAGTAGTTGCGCCCCTACTTTCAAAAGACGTCCGCCTTGTTAGCACATTGAAGTACTCTCACAACAGTATAATCAAAGCCAGTGCTAACAGTAACGCCCTATAGTAACGCTCATCAGCTCCAAATCGCCTCTAACGCAACTTTACCATGTCGTCTCCAGCCACTGCGAAGTCATATGAGGAGAGACGCGCGGAAGTCATTGCAGCTACTGCCCACACCATTGAGCTCGCTCAGAATGCGGACCGACAGGTATAACAATCCTACCATCCTGATATCAATTGTTCTAGAGCTGATAGCAAAGCTAGGCTATGAGCCGTGCACGCCGTACCCGCCAGGGTAAAGATGACTGGGAGGGCCTTACGGCCAATGAACAAGCTGCCGTGTTAGCTACAACGCAGCAGGATATCATGGACAGGCGCACCGCTCGTGGTATTGATGCCAATTCCCGCCTCACAGCCGCTATTAATGATGAGAGTGCGGCTATTGCGGCCATTAATGCAGAGGAGCTGGAGGAGAAGTTGAAGGCCCTACCAAAGGGCGAAGGCAAAGCTGTAAGTAATAGCTAAAACATGACGATACTATCTAACATAATGGTTAGACTGGCAAGACATCGACTAGCGACAGCGGTGAAGAAAATACCTTAAAGGATATCTGGGCCAGCAACATGGTCCCAGTCATTGAGCGCTGGGAGCGCAATATTGCCCTTGCTGGCAACATCCTTATGCCCGAACTCTCAAGGAAGGAGATCGAAGAGTTTGCTGGGGGGGTTAGCAACCCTGATAATATCAAAGAGTTTGTGAAGCAGTGGGAGAATAACAGCAATGCTGATGTTGAAGATGGGCTGGTAGATTTTGATGATGATGGTGAAGAAGTGGAGGTGGTTATATCAGAGGATGAGGAGGACGATGATGAGGACGAGGATAGCCTCAATGGCTTCATTGTCGGGGTTCGTGTAGAGGAGGAGGAGGAGGAGGAG